CAAAACTGTTTCGGAGAAATCTGATCGTGAACAATCTGAATCACCGGAGAACATCATTTGTGCTCCAAGTTTACCAGGTAAAATACTAGTAATCACCCAAGATTTTAGGAATTATTTATTTATTTATTTTATTTATTTATTTTTAAATATATAACTGACAGATTTCTTCCAAGAGGACTCAAAAATACAATTATTTTACATAATGAATAACAATTAAAATATATACAACATTACAATATATAGTAAAATTAATAATGCGCTTAATATAAAATTACATATAATACAGAATGTAACAATATTATTCATTTACAGAATAAGATAAAATAGTGATATAATTGAAAAAATAATAAAAAGGTAAACTTGTGCAGATGGAGAATATTTGATTAGGTGAAGTGTTGTGAATATCTATTTAATTATTAATTAAGTTAAAGTTAGAGGACATAAGTAAAATAGGCAAATTTAAAAGAGAATTAGATTTAGAAGTAGGATACTCTTTTCTAGATAAAATTTACTACATATTCCTATAATCTCTCACAAACACTCCTATACGAAAAACTCAAATGAATTAGGTTTGAACTCGCTACAATTGTTCAAGTTTGCAATTGGCAATATACGTAATATAAACATAGGGTTGTACTCAATTTAATTAAAAAATACTTATAATCATATTATAAGTAATACTTTATTATTTGACTGCATATTGTATATTGTTTTCCTAATAAATACAGTTAGGGGCTAGTTTTTGCCTAAAAGTGCACGCAACCTGGATCAATGCGTCGTTTTAGGTTAACGTGCACGCGCAAAATCTTGGGAAAACTTCTACTTTCGTTTTTACTCTTAGCTATGAAAAATTTCAGAAATTAAATTATTTAAATATCAGTTTATAATGTATTGTTATTTATGTAATTTAAAAAATATGCAAAAATTGAATATTTAACATTTTAGAAGGGTATTTATTAAGACGTATACATTTATCTTATGTTAGTTTTTTTGTTATTTCAAAATTATTAATAACATTTATCTAATAAATTTTATACATAATAACATGTTTGTTGCAATAATTAGGGAATATCTGGTATTGATAAATTGTAATTTTACCTAACGTGATAAATATTTTTGTTTATGTAAATTCGTATGATTTGATTAAAGTTTTTTTTACAAATCATTTATACGAATAACTCGAAAACTGTGTACCTGGCACTTTTTTCTAGTTAGCTTAGCAGAAACTAAATGAAATTTACTACAAATTCGTGTAAACAGTTATATACACTCCGATATAAAATTGTTAAATAAAATGACTTTGAAATCGACCTTTTGATAAATGGATTTTGATAATAGTGATATCGGTTTGATAATAGTGATATCGGAAAATAGAAATATAAATTATATACCTGACCTCGACTAATTTTCTAGGTTCTCCAGCATTACCAGAAAGCGTGTCAACTCCATCACCAACTCACCAGCAGCTACCTCCTCAAGATCTACCACAAGTTGGTCTTCCTGCACATGCTCCTCTGGTTCTGGTCAAACAAGGAGTATCCAAATGCAGGGAATGCAACATAGGTAAGGGTAATAGACCTGTTTTGCCCTAGATGATTCTGTTACCAATAAATTTTGTCTTCTGCAGTTTTTTGTAAACACGAGAACTACATAGCCCACAAGCGCCACTACTGCCAAGCCAGGACCTCCGACTCCACCACCAATAATCAACCACCAATTTCACCATCGGTGTCTCCTATCACATCGCCGGAAATCTTGTCACCTCCAGAAGCCGGTAACGGTATTGGAGGACAAAGAGATACCACTTCTTTACCCAGACACACTTACCAACAGCTGATTTGTGCTGCTTGTGGTATCAAATTTACCTCTTTGGATAACCTGACAGCTCACCAAACCTATTATTGTCCTAAAAGGACAATGCTGCTGAATAGTCTAAATAATGCTGCTGCAGCAGCTGCTTTGGGCAGCGTCAATTTGGACAAGAACTTTAAGAGTCATATTGAAGCTGTTAGTAAAAGTTTGCAAGGTAAGGGTAATGGATGTTTTTTGGTAACTTTTTGTAGGGTAGTTATAGTAATGGGCCGAAAATCGAAAATGAAAATTTTTGCATTTCTCGACGTTTTGAAGGTTTCTGAACATTTTACTGGCATACCTCAGAAACTAAATGGATATGTGCGTGTATGTGTGCGAGTTTTTGAGAGAACGGAGTATCTATTTATTGAAGTAAAACTTCTTTAGGCGCGATATGGGTGTAAAAATTTTTAGGCGCGACACGGGTGTAAATCCGTACAAATGCAACGAAAATGCCAACGTGTAGTTGAACACTACGACGCCGTAAGCGCTGATGTCGCGAGTATCCACTCATATCGCGTCATGTCATGCCTTAGTCGAGCGCTAAACCCTATATGAACTTGCATTAATTGAATCACGTTTTTTATGTTATGTCCTCATGGAATAAGACTTTTCTTAGAGAATAAATGTGCCATGGAATATAATAAATTTATATTGAATCTCGTTGAAGACAAAATAATATCTACTGCCACGGATATTTATGTAGGTTGCCATGCGACAGATCAACAATCATACATTCGTCAGCAGTTTCAAAAAAATCGGTTATTGATACCGGGGCTTTGCCGTATGAAATAATTTTAGTTCTGAATAAATTTTACATAATAACAACTAATATTGATGTACGTGATGGCTTAGCTAATGGTTGTGTGGGAAAATTAGTGTACATAGAACGTGGCGATGATGATGAACTTCTACGTTTATGGTTTGAATTTCCCGGTAAGATAGGTAACAAAATTAGGAAGAAAGCTTCACATCATATTCAAACTCTTAATATCAGTAGGACAGCTGTGCCGATGCTCAGGAGATCTTATTATTATTGATGTTATATGATTATTAAAAGATGATTTTTAAAATTCAAATATGATGTTTTTTTTATTTTTATCTTAATTGCCTACTCATACAATATTAAAAGTTTTACTTCAATCGCGTGTGATCCTTACGCGCACTCTTTTTTTTGCTTTTAATCAGTAAATTTTGATAATATAGCAATTTACTGACTTTTAAATTTTCTTTTTACTAAACATAAAACTTTTACAACAATTTAAATACTCCGATTTGTTTTTTTTATTTATTTATTAATTTTACAAGCCGTCGGTATATTAATATTATAATAAGGCTTAAGTCACTATTTTATAGGTTTAATATAATTTAATTAACTATTAGCTATTTTATTACTCATTCATTTATTATTTAATTTATTTACTATAAACTTATTTATATTTAGTTAATTTTAATTATTTTTAATATAACTAGTTTGTTTGACAAACTTTAGGTTATTTGATGATATTTTAACAAATTTAAATGTCTTATATTATTGTTATTATTATTATTATTAATAATAATAATATTATCATTATCATTTTTACTATTATTATTAAGTATTTTTACAATATAAGTTTCTTTCTTTTACACATTTTTAGGAATTTTGATCAAGGAAATATTTTGTTTCACAATTTTTAAGTGTTTTTAAAATATAAGTTTTTGGTTAACTAATTATCAAGTATTTTAACAATAACAGTCATATAAAAATAATAATTAAAAAAAACTAGCTGTAAGTGGAATTCTGTCGGTACGGAACCCATAAGCATGTAAACAAAATTTATACTTATTGTTAAAATCTCTATAAAATATCTGATAATTTGATGTGCATATGTCTAATGATCATTTTTGACCGCCAAATGGCATTTTTTACTTTTTTCACTAGATCTCCGAAACCGCTAGACCTGCTCTCATGAAAATTTTATCAATTCTTCATCTTGTCAATACAAGTAAAATGTTTCTTGAATTATTAAAATCGGACGCTCCGTTCTCTTAAAAACTGAGTTACCGTTTTCGGCACTTTTTGCCCCGTATCTTCGGAACGGCTAGACCTGCCTTCGCCAAAAACTAATCAGTACGTTTCCTTATCAACACGAATCGAATGTTTTTTGAATTATTCAAATCGGTTGATCCGTGTTCCCGAAATCGTCGACGAAAATTTGTATCCGCACATACATAAATACACGCACACACACATACATACACACACACATCCATTTTTTCTGAGGTATGCCAAAATGTTCAGAAACCTTCAAAACGTCGAGAAAAGCAAAAATTTTCATTTTTGATTTTCGTAAGTTAAAAAATTACCCAGGCTAAGCATAGTCTAAGCGCCACTCTGGCACAAATGTTCACCCAAGTGCGTTTAGACTGCACTTTAGTAACTTTAGTGTTAGTGCACTTTTCCAATTTCGTGAAAACTATTGAAAAATATGAAAATGCCGCCAAGCTGAGCGCAGTATAAGTGAAAATGTCGCATAGAATTATTCGCAAATGCGTTTAGACTGTGACTATACGGAAGCACTTTTTAAATTTTGTGTAAATTAGGCAACTATTTTTTTTTTGAAATTGAATTCGAAATGAAATGACGATTGTTAATGTAATAATTGATTTATGATTTACATTTGATTTGCTAAGATATAACGAACAAGATAGCAAAAATGTGAATGAAAGTTACAATATTTGTAATAATATATTTGAAAACGTTTAAAATCTCTCGAATATTTCATTACGGTACGGGAAGTTCCAGCAATTTGCCTTAAGGCACGATGCCATACACCACTAGTTTAGTAACAACTCCGGGTAACTAAGAATTTTTTATCCAGGTCCAAGAGAAGGTCTGACCTCACCAGTGGCTGATTCTTCCCCAAATCCTGCAGCAGTTCTGGTGGACGAGGTTCCTGCCTCTCGTCTGGTGGTCACTTCTCCGACTGGTGCTGGAGGTGCTGTAGGCGGCTGGAGGTGCCCTTGTTGTGATGTGACAAGCCCTACTGCTGCAGCAGCCCAGAGGCACATGGACACACATAGAGGTAGGAGGAAAAATATATAAAAAATTGCTGCACAAATTTGTAAAATTCAGTAGCTAGAAAAATATCATTGGTAGTTGTTATTTATTGTTGTGGATCATTGGTTAGTTGTTTGCTTAGTCATTGCTTTTATTAAAATCATGAGGAAATATTTTGCTAAAAATACTTAATTTAAACATATTTGTGACTTTGTTACTCGGAGGGGAGTACTGTGGCAGTACAGAGGCGATGACGGTTTTTATAAAGAGTACTAACAAAGTTATGGTTTCAGGATATTTTTATCGATCATTTTTCAGAGTTTCATTCCTTTATATAATTATTTGTTTTTGGTAAATATATTTACCAAAGTGGTGACCTCGACTTCATCACTGAAAAGGGGAGTACTGTGGCAGTCATTTTTAAAGAGCGGAAAAAATAATAATAATATCGGTATATTTTTCAATGGATCGTTTTTTATTATTTTATTTATTCATATAAATATTTATTTTTGGTAATTACATTTACCAAATTGGTGACCCCGACTTTCATCACTTGAAGGGGGAGTACTGTGGCAGTGATTTTTAAAGAATGAGAAAACGAGTAATAATACCAAATTGATGACCCCGATTTTCATCACTGAAAAGGGGAGTGCTGTGGCAGTAATTTTTAAAGAATGAGAAAAACCGAGTAATAATATCGGGATATTTTTCAATTGATCATTTTTGCTTTTTGTCATTTATATAATTATTTATTTTTATCGAATAAATTTACCAAATTGGTGACCACGACTTCATAACTAGAAGGGGGAGTACTGTGGCAGTAATAGAGAGGAGCAAAAAACGATTTAATGATATCGGAATTATTATACTTTAATGGATCATCTTTTATTGTTTTATTTATTTCAATAATCATTTATCTTTGTTGAATAATTTTACCAAATTGATGACCCCGACTTCTTAACTAAAAAGGGGAGTACTGTGGCTTTTGACTTTTTTTGAAAGTTCAATTAATTTATATATTTGATTATTTTTGGTAAATAATTTAACCAAATTATTTTGGCTCTCCGACTTTATCACTGAAAGGGGAAGTACTGTGGCAGTCACAGAGAGATGATTTTGGATTTTTTTATATAGCTTAATATAGTTTTATTTATTTGTGTATTTATTAATTTTTGGTAAATAAATTTACCAAAATGAAACATCCTGACTTTGTTACTGGAGTAATGTGGCGGTACCAATTAGCATTTATTTATATAATAAATATTAGTAAAAGTGGTAAAGTGGTATTTAGTGTAAATAGTATTTATTTGTAGTGATGGCACATTTCTTAATTTAGTAATAAACTTGATAATAAAATGAAAATCACAAGCAATCGCAATCGAGAGAAAAAATATATATTTGAAACATTATTTTTAAGAATTTTTTTTTATGAATATTTAGTTAAATTTACCAAAGGGGGAGTACTGTGGCGGTACGAGTTATTATTGGCTTTGATAGCAATAGAGGAAAAACAAACGGGGCATATATTTTTAAACAATTATTTTGAAGAAATTTATTTATACAAATATTCAGTTGTGTTAAATTAGTATACCAAAGGGGGGAGTGCTGTGGCAGTACGAGTCTTTCTCAAACTGAGAAAAAACAAATGGGATATAGATTTTTATTACGGGTTTCATTTATTTATATATATATATATTTAGTTTTGGTAAATACATTTTTCATCACTTGAAGGCGGGGAGTATTGTGGCAGCACGGGTCAGCGTTGATTTTGCGAGTTATAGAGGAATAACAAACGGGACATGTATTTTTAATTAAATATCTTAACGAATTTTATGAATTTATACAAATATTCAGTTGTGGTAAATAAATTTACCAAAGGGGGAGTATTGTGGCGATACCAGAATACTTATAAAATCGGGGTACTTTATTACTGGAAGGGGTGTATATGTGTTAATCGTATGTTTTTGCACTAGACAAGTATTATTTAACACTTTTTTAACTAAAACATCATCATCCATGGTGGTAATTTTCATCATCATTTGCATGTTTGTTCATCCTAAGCATCTTTATCAGTGCCATTAGTGTTGCATGAGCTTGGTGTTCAAAGTGTTTAGAGGTTTTGCATTAAAAATCATGAATAACAATACAATTGGTGTTTCGAATAGGTGTAAAAGCCTTCAGATGTTCCATATGTCGATACAAAGGCAACACTTTACGAGGAATGAGGACACATATTAGGATGCACTTCGACAGGCAACGTCCTGGTGATTTTAGGGAAGAAGATTTTATTTCTTGTGTTTTGGAGGATGAAAAACAACCCCATGGTAGTAATGGGGTTGTTGATAATACAGTTGAAAAAGCTCAGGAGACCAGCAAAGTGCAGGAAAAGCGCGAAAAATCCCTGTCTCCATCTAGCGATGTGGTTTGCGAAAATGCTAAAACCGTTGTAAAACAGGAAGAGGTCTCTGTTAAATCTGAACCCGAAGACGTAATCGATGATGAAAATAGTGAGAGGAATATTGAGCATGAAATTGAAGAAGCCAGGAATAAATCAGGACCTAAACATTGTAAATCTTGCGATATAACATTTAACTACCTTTCAACTTTTATTGCACATAAAAAGTTCTACTGTTCGAGCCATTTAGGAGAAAATAGTGCTGCGAACAATAATTTGCAACAAGCCTCTGCTTTACTTTAATAGAAAAATAAATTCATCACAGCAGCTATTATAAAGAGGGCAGCGATTTTTTCCCTGGAACTTCTTTCTTTAACTAGTTAAGTTTAATATAATCTCAGTCTTTAGATCTGTACGAATGAATCAATAATTAATTATGTATACCCTCAGAATAAATTTTAGGATTTAAGGACAAAATGCCAAAGCATTAACATTATATATATAAATATAGCATATGACATGAATGTTGGAAATTTAAGTTTTTATGTTTAGAACAAATATATTCGATATATAATTTAATTTTAATAATATGATCTGACATTACATATATATACATAGTACATATCGTTTGTGCATTTGTTTAGAAAATCTTTTGTAACTTTTGAACGATTTATTTAAACTTGATGAAATATTTGGCAAATTTGTTCAAAGTTATATAATCAAACATTGTTTTTAACGTTGTAAGTATCTACAGCCACTCGGTATACTTTAAAATCGCATTTGGTATGACTAATTGTTTAAACTATGAAAAAAAAATATGACTATTGACATGTGTGCGCTACTTGTTATGCTTGTGCATTTACTTACTAAATATTTTGCAACTTTTAAACAGTTTGTTGAAACTTACTAAAATATTTAGAGAATGTGTTCAAAACTAAATTATCTATAATATTGTCTAATATTATAAGTACTCAGTATACTTTAAAATCGTCCTTGAACATAGACATTGTATTTTGCAACTAAAACTTCCAAACGTTACTAATATGACTTGCGCACAATGCTACGTTTCTACATTTATTTACTAAATCTGTTGTAACTTTTAAACGATTTGATTTACCTTTATGAAATAATAGGGAATTTTGTTCAAAATTCAATTATCTGTAATTGTTTCTAACATTATAAATACCTACAGCAACTCGGTATACTTTAAAATCGACCTTGAATATAGACATTGCATTTTTCAACTAAAAATTCCGATGCTGGTACATTTGTCTGTTACATTTGTGCATTTGTTTACTAAATATTTCATAACATCTGAATAATTTGTTTAAACTTAATGAAATGTGTGAGACAAATTTATTTAAAATTAAATAATCTCTAATTTTAAATATAATAAATAATATTAATAATATTATAAATAATTCAATTTTGTATAAATCTACAAAATATTTCATTTAGTTCCCAAACAAAATTCAAGAATTACGAGTGTTACAATAATCAAATGCAATATGATTAATTGAAGCTCAAAAGTTAATTTATGTTCCAACTTTCAATTGCGATTTTAAAGTATACCGAGTTGCTGTAGGGTATTATAATATTAGACAATATTATGAATAATTTAATTTTGAACAAATTTGCCAAATATTTCATTAACTTCAGACACCTAATTTAAAAGTTACAACATTTTCATACATTCCGATTAATATAGACTCAAATGTAAATTTAAGTTTCTACTTTCAATTGCAATTTTAAAGTATACCGAACTGCTGTAGGACGTTATAATGTTAGACAAAATTATTAACAATTCAATTTTGAACAAATTTGTCAAATATTCCAATAACTTTGGATTCATATTTTAAAAGTTACAAGAGATGAAATAAACAAATAAACAAATGCACTCTGATTAATCAAAACCTGACACTACTATATATATATATATATATATATATATATATACATTATACTTACATATTATTTTTTACACATATTTATAGTATTTTATAAATATAAATTTTTTTTATGAAATTGTTGATACTAATTTTGTTAGCGTACTTTTTATATTCATATGCACATTTTTACATAGCCAAATTTATTTAAGTTTTTAATTTAATATAAAATATTTTTCATATATATATACATATATATATATATATATATATATATATGTATATATATATAAAATTGTATATATATTTTTTCAAAACAATCAAAAATTTTGTTCAACAGTTGAACTGTTGTAGTCTTTGTTAATATGTGCATATAAATAATTTTTTTTATTAAGTTACATTTTTATATATATACAGATATGTATATATATATATATATATATATATATATATATACTTTACATAATATACATATAGTCTTAGTGAAACGTGATCTGCTTCTGTAATATTGAAGACAATAAATTATTTATTTGTAAAAAATATGTCATTATTTATTAACCTCCCGCAGAAAAAATTTATGCTTTTGTCATAAAATCAAATTTGCTAAATTTGAAACTTTTTCTCGACGTTTCAAGTCATTCTGAACCGTATGAGACCACATTGGGTCTTAGAAAATTTTGACTTGAAAGGACTAGTTTTAACTAAAATTCTTGAATCGATATTTTAAATCCAAAAACAATTTGAAATATATCAGTTGGAAATTTTGCTGAATCGTTTTTTGTAAAGGCCTGCAAAGTCGTCTTTAAAATTTTAAAATTTTAAATTTTGCAAACGTGTTTTATAATTTATTCAGAATACATTTGAGATATCTATGCTAAAAAGTTGCTAGTTTTAAAATTAGACTCAATTTGAAAAAAAAATTGAGCATTTTTCTGAATCACGTTTTAATTAATTCTAATAAATAAATAATAGTAAACTAAACATTGTTTGAATCGATTTGAAAATATAATATAAGGTCCATCTATGAATTTTGTCTGGTACATTCACCCTTAGTTACAACCCCTTGCTAATATACAAACCAAGGGTGTGTTCCGGATAACCAAATCGTCAGAAAATAGAATAATAGATCTTTTATTTAAAAATTATTTTTATTTATTATTATTCATAAGAAAATTTGATTATTATTATGGAGTTCGCGCAAGCACTTTTTGACGAATTTGCATTTCGCAAAAAATTTTGTATGAAAGTGCAAAAAATAATAAATGGCGTTGAATAACCAATAAAATTTACTATAAATTGATATATGATAACGTAAACATTGTTTAACAAAATTTACGGGAATTTTAGCATAAAAATGCGGATAAGCATTTTACGCACGATTCTATCTGTGAATGAGTTGAGAGTGCACTTTTATAATAAAATTGTATTTTGCGTAGAAAAATTGTATGAAAGTGTAAAAAGTAATTTATATAGTTAAATAACCAATAAAATTTACTGTGGGAGTATATATAATAATATATACATTTTTGAACTAAATTTACGAGAATTTCGGCATGAAAATGTGGATAAGCATTTTACGCACGATTCTTTCAAGTGAAGTTCAACGCGTGTACTTTTATGACAAAATTTAATTTTGCACAAAAAATTTATATGAAAGTATATAAATTAATGACGTTGAATAGACAATAAAATTTTCAATAATCTGATATATAATAATATATACATTTTTGAACGAAAGTTACGAAAATTTTAGCTTGAAAAATGCAATGAATAAAATAAACTTTTGAGTACTTTTACATTATGATTAAAAATTAAAGTGTAATCATGACGCGTATATTTAATTTATCGTGTATAACTCTTAAACAATTTGTTTAATATGAATAGTTTATTTGGCAAATTTATACAAAATTAAATTATTAACAATATTGTCTAGCATTTAAATATTCTATAGCAACTGGGTATAATCATAAATGACTATGAAAAATGTAGAATTTTAAAGAAACTTAAATGTGATAGTAATTGTTATTAAATATCTGCATTTTTAATACATCGTTTTATATATTTATTATCTTCTTTATTTATTAAATAATATAATTAATCTATGCAACAATATTTTAATTTTATTGAGAAAAATATGTTGCTATTAATTTCTTAGCTAAAGTTGAGTTATAAAGACTTTGTTATAAAGTTGTATATTTATATATCATTCGTATTTTTTTTTTTTTTTGAATTTTTGAAATTTTGAAAATTATATTAATTATTCATTTAAAGTTTATATACTTTATATGCCACATAATTAATTCGCTACATAGTTTTTATTTTTTTTTAAATGTCTATAAGAAAAAAAGGACAATTAGATGTTCAATTGTTCAACCAATTGTTCAATTTGTACACAATTTAAATAATTTCAAATATCTTCAATTATTAATGTATGAAAATCCTTGTCCGTTTTACATATTTGTTTACTAATTACGTTATCATAATCTGTTTTCAAAAACAATTTAAACCATATTAACTTTTCAATCGACTGAAATTACCACTTTTTCTCAGATTTTTGAAATAAAAATTAAGAAAATACCTAAAATTTTCTATTTCTTTATATTTGCTACTATATTAGATCAATTCGAATAATTATAATAAAATTAACTATTTTTTTATTAATTTCTACAATCAAAAAAGACAATAGAAACTTATTTTATCAATGTCGATTTTACTTTTAAATTTGCTTAATTATTATTTGTATCAGTAAAATAAAATTCACTCGTTTTTTCTACTTTTTTCAATTCCTTGAACTATGAAGACTCTTTTTCAAAACTTTTACCATTTAAAATAATTACAGAAATATTTTTCACAATTTTTCTAATTTCCACAACTAAAAATGGAAAAGAAACCATTTTTCATGAAACCGGTTCTCGATTATAATAGTTGAAAATTATTTTCGATTTTTCAAACAAACATTAAAAGTAATTTAATATACTTAGTTATACATAGTTATATATTTTCTGATATAATTTCATATTTATTCTATTAATTTATAATTATATTTCTTTCTTTTCTTTTGAATCAAAATGTATGAAATTTTTGTCAGTTTTTACATTATCATCATGATTACTATTATATTGTATGAATTAATAAAATTACAATTATATTCAATATTTTTTACTAATTTCTACCACCAAAATTTTTTTACAAAAGGACCCTTTTTCATTAATAAGCCGACCCTCGAAATGAAAATGGGGTTGTACGCACGCGCGTAATTCTGCTCCTACGCACAGCATCCCCGTTCGTTGCCATGGCGACGGGGGATGTATTGATCTTTAGATTTCAACCCCTGGAAAACTGAAAGATAAATACATACATTCATGTATGTATATATATATATATATTATATATATATATATATTATATATATATATATATATATATAATGTATTTAAATGTGTTGGTTTACATAAGGGCTCTCGATAGTCCGACAAAGGTGGAGAAAACAGGGCGGGAATTATCATATTACAGAGTTGTACTCGAAAAATGTCTATAACATTTCAAATTCATTG